TTCAGCAAGCGCGAAAGCAAGAGCGGCAGCCAAGATAGCAGCGCTTGAAGCTAAAGCTGCGTCTATCCAAGAAAGGCAAGAGCTCGAACTCGAAGAGCTTAAACTAAATCAAAGAAAAGCCAAACTCGAACTTAGGACTGAGTTAGCGGTCGCTGAAGCTGAACAAAGAGCCTACGAAGAAAGCGAAATCGAGGAAATACGCAGTCGTAACGGCAAAAGTGTTTTGCATAGTTCGCCACCGGTCCAGCGCAAGTTAAATCTCACCGACCAACGACTCGAGAATGCCCCAAAGGTTTCTTCAAGTCCCGAAGCTAAGCCCGCTGCCGTAGACATGTCTGCACGTCAAACACTCAACCCTGAAGCCCCCGAATGGCGCGCTGTAACGCCGCAGGGCTACGAACGCTCGTACGTCAACGACCTTTCTCAATCGGATAAGTTTCGCGAGGAATCGTTCCAAGCGCTAATGACAACGCAAGAACGTCAGAATGGGGTGCTACAGCAGCTAGTCCAACAGCAACAAGAAAGCGTAATGGCGCTCACCTTACCACGACCCAGTTTACAGACGTTTAACGGCGATCCCCTAGGTTACTGCGACTTTGTGCGTGCGTTTGAACATCTGGTAGAGCGCAAGGCAAACGACCCCAGCGCAAGACTCTACCTTTTAGTGCAGCACACTTCCGGAAGCGTGCAGGAATTGATGCGAAGTTGTCTGTCCATGCAGCCAGAGGAGGGATATAGAGAAGCGCGACGCTTGCTTAAGGAGCGATACGGTCAGAAATACAAGATCGCCGCCGCGCACGTACAGAAACTCATCAACGGGGCCCCCATCAGAACAGAGGACGGCGAGGAGCTGCAGAGATTCTCCATCCAGCTGGTGAGTTGCACCAACACATTGAAGGAAATTGGTTACATAGGGAAACTGGACAATCCAGAAAACCTAAAGAAAATCGTCGATCGCCTGCCGTACCCACTTCGCGCGAAATGGCGAGACGCGGTGGACCGTATTGTGGAAAAAGAAGAAAGAGACGTGACAGTCAAGGACCTAACAGATTTCGTGACGATGAAGGCCAGAGCAGCCAGCCATCCTGTGTTCGGTAAACTTGAAAGAGCGTCAGACAAAATCACCGGCCCAGGAAATCAACGACCACGCCGTAGTGCCAACGGTTTCGCAACGCAAGGGGGCGAGCAAACCTCGACCGAAGCCAGAGAAAAGTGGTGCCCACTGTGTAAGATGGCCCACTGGCTGTCACGCTGCGAAAAGTTCCGGAAGCAATCGTTGGCCGAAAGAAGACAAGTAGTCAGAAACAGCAAACTGTGTCTCAACTGTCTACTGCCAGGACATTTTGTTAATGCGTGTCCCAAACCCAGTTACTGCAAGGTGCCAGAATGTGAAACAAAGCACTCGACGTTTCTGCATCCGAGGTCCGAGAAGACGCCCGAACACGATGCTGATGCAACACCCCCTGTAGACGTAGAAACCAGTCAAGAGAGCGTAGCCAACGGAAACAGTACGCCAGCAGACGAAACCCTACACAAGCCGATAGTTTGTACGTTCGAATGTCGACCAAACCCAACGCGCCAAGATACGATTCTGTGACAGCGCTGGCCATCGTTCCTGTTCGCGTCAAGGCATCTGGCCATGGTGCATCTAAGACGGTGGAAACGTATGCATTCTTGGATTCGGGCTCGAATACATCATTCTGCACCGAAGCCCTGCTCGACCAACTCGACCTTCAAGGCCGCAAGACGAGTCTGTCGCTGACGACGATACAAGGTAAAAACTCGCTCGTGCAGTGCTCCCAGGTGAGTCTTGAAGTGTCTTCACTGGATTCAGCAGCACAGCCCGTTAATATGCCAGTGGTGTATTCACGACCATCTCTACCAATCTCCCGCGACGCCATCAGTAACCAGGAAGATGTAAACCGCTGGCCACATCTTGAAGGATTATCCTTGCCAGAGATCGACGCCGAAATCGGCCTGCTTATCGGAAGCGACGTCCCCGAAGCAATACAACCAATGGAAGTACGACAAAGTGAGAGCGGAGGACCTTTCGCGACTCGGACCATCCTAGGATGGGTACTCAATGGCCCTCTTGGTAGAGGAAAGAACACGTCAGCTACGTCCAACTTTTTGCAGAGCACTGCTCGTCTTGAGCAGCAATTCCAGGACTATTGCAACTTGGAGTTCAACGACTCGTCCTACGATGCCAAACAGTCAATGTCGCAAAATGACAAGAGAGCGCTGGAAATCATGGAGGAAAGCGTCCAATTGAAGGAGGGTCATTACGAAATCGGGCTGCCATGGAAGAGTCATCCGCCGCAACTCAAAAACAACAGACCGGTAGCGGAAAGACGACTAAGTCTTTTGAAGAAGCGTCTTCAACGAGAACCAGAAGTACACGAGAAGTACAAGGGCTTCATGAACGATCTTATCAAGAATGATTACGCCAGCAAAGTCGAGAACCGCGAAGTCGACCAGTCAAGCATTCGGTGGTACCTGCCACATCACCCCGTGTTCCATCCTCAGAAACCCGACAAGGTGAGAGTGGTATTCGACTGCTCAGCCAAGTATCACCAGACGTCTCTCAACGACCAGCTCTTACAGGGGCCGGACCTTACCAACTCGCTTGTTGGCGTCTTGACAAGATTTCGCGAGGAGCGCGTGGCTATGATGTCGGATGTCGAGGCCATGTTCTACCAAGTCCGTGTCCCTTCTGAAGATCGTAAGGCTCTGAAATTCCTGTGGTGGCCGGACGGCGACCTGGATCAACCAGTGCAGGAGTACGAAATGAACGTACACCTATTCGGAGGTGCCTCATCGCCCAGCTGCGCAAACTTTGCCCTGCGGAGAACCGCCCAAGATAACAAGGCCGAATTCGACCCAGAAACAACCGAAACTGTCGAAAGAAATTTCTACGTTGATGACTGCTTGAAGTCCATTCCAACAGATCCGGAAGCGGTGAGATTGGCAAACCAACTGCGGGAATTGTTGGCAAGGGGAGGATTCAGATTAACGAAGTGGACGTCCAACTCTAAAGCCGTGCTGGAGTCATTACCAGAATCAGAAAGATCGGAGCAAGTCAAGGACATGAACTTGGACAAATCTCCTATTCAGAGAGCCCTGGGTGTTCGCTGGAACGTATCATCAGACAAATTCGGTTTCAGTATTGTAGTGAAAGACCGTCCCGCAACCAGACGAGGCATTTTGTCGGTGGTCAGTTCCGTTTTCGATCCGCTGGGATTTGTCGCTCCGTTTGTCCTTAAGGCGAAACAAATCCTGCAGGACTTATGCCGCTTGAAGCTCCGTTGGGACGACCCAATCCCGGACGAACACCTGGCCCGCTGGCAATCGTGGTTGAAGGAACTGCCGAAGCTCGAGGATGTGCAAATAGATCGGTGTCTCAAGCCTACCAATGACGCCAAGATCAGTTCGTTCCAACTGCATCATTTCTCTGATGCGTCGCAAGATGGCTATGGAGCCGCCACCTACCTACGTGTAGAAGATGAAGCCGGCAATATCAAGTGTTCGTTTGTAATGGGGAAGTCCCGTTTAGCGCCAATCAAACAAGTTACGATACCTCGTCTGGAGCTTTCAGCAGCTGTTACAGCCACGAGACTGGAGAAGATCTGTCGGGGAGAACTCACGCTCGAAGTGAACGACACGTTCTTCTGGACCGACAGCACGTGTGTCCTACGCTACCTACAGAACAAAGATAAACGATTTCAGACCTTCGTTTCCAATAGAATTTCTACGATACTTGATGCATCTTCTACTTTCCAGTGGCATTACGTCAACACCCTTGCCAATCCAGCCGACGACGCATCTCGTGGCGTGCCAGCGACACAACTCCAGCGATGGATACAGGGGCCGGATTTCCTGAGCAAGCCAAGGGCCGCTTGGCCACAGCCACCCAGTGATCTGAGCTTGGTCATTGGAGACAACGACCCCGAGGTCAAGCGACAATCCGCCACGTACACGAACAAAATTTCTAATCTACATCCACTTGCAGAGTTAGTCAAGCATTTCTCTTCTTGGAGTCGGCTGAAAAAGGTCCTAGCGCTGGTTTTGCGCTACCAGGCGATCCTGAAACGTCGCGTCATCCAGAAGAAGTTAAATCCTGCTGAAGCGATCGGGTTTTCAACGTCCATCACGCCTATTTCCGTGTCCGAAATGGTCAACGCTGAGAAGGAAATAATTCGACATGTGCAGCAAGAATGTTTCAGCGAAGAACGAGAATGCCTAGAAAGAATAAACCAAAGTAGCGATAAAGATCGCAAGAACGTAACGGTTAAGAAATCGAGCCGCGTGTTCCAGCTGGATCCAGTATTAAAGAATGGGTTGGTACGTGTCGGCGGAAGACTGCGGAGAGCACCAATAAACGACAACGCTAAACACCCTATCATCCTCCCGAAAGACCACCATGTTATTGGACTCCTTGTAAACCATTACCACCACATCGCGGGTCATTCCGGCGTCGAGCACACGCTTTCCCTCATCAGAGAAAGGTATTGGATCGTAGACGGAAGATCAGCCGTGAAGAAGGTCATCGGCAAGTGCCTCAGCTGTAAGAAACGTCAGTCAACAGTATGCAATCAAAAGATGGCCGACCTGCCAGAAGACCGGGTAACGCCCTCGCTGCCACCGTTTACGTATACAGGCGTCGACTGCTTCGGACCGTTCGAAGTAAAACGTGCGAGAAGTCGTGTCAAGCGGTACGGAGTGCTCTTCACTTGTATGACAACACGAGCGATCCATCTAGAAGTGGCCCACACGTTGGACACCGACTCTTTCATTGATGCTCTCCGACGATTCGTGGCAAGGCGAGGTCAACCTATGGAGATCCGCTCGGACAACGGAGGAAACTTCGTCAAGGGTGAACGAGTGCTAAGACAAGCCATTGACGAATGGAATCAAGAACAGATCCACGACTTCCTGCTTCAACGAAATGTCAAGTGGACCTTCAACCCACCCGCTGGATCTCACTTTGGTGGAGTGTGGGAGAGGTGCATAAGAACCGTAAGGAAGGTCATGAAGGCGCTGATGACGGAACAAGTGCTTCACGACGAGAGCCTCAACACGTTGTTCTGCGAGGTAGAGTCCGTGGTGAACAGCAGACCGATCACGAAGCTGTCAGATGATCCACGGGACGAAGAACCACTCACCCCAAACCACTTGCTTCTATTACGTCACCAACCCGCCCTTCCACCCGGTGTTTTTGGAAAGGAAGACAATCAGAACCGAAGGAGATGGCGTCAAGTGCAATATCTGTGCAACCTGTTCTGGAGACGTTGGGTAAGGGAGTATCTCCCCTTGCTGCAGAAAAGACAAAAGTGGAACGCTTCGAAGAGGAACGTGGCAGTCAACGACATCGTTATGGTGCTAGACGACAGCAAACCAAGAGGAGTATGGCCCTTAGCTCGGGTGTTGGAAGTGTACCGCAACAAGCGTGACGGACTGGTACGATCCGTGAAACTGAAGACAAGCAGCAACGAGTTGGTGAGGCCTGTAGACAAGATCGTCCTCCTAGAAGAAGCCGCCTGATGTTGGTATGAGATCGTGATAAACATTGTTATTAAACTAACGCTTTATTCATTTACTTATTTAGTTATTGACATTATTTCGTGTTTCAAACCATTTAAAAAAACGGTATTGTAAAGGCTCGTAGTACCGCCTTTAAGGGGCCGGTATGTTGGTTTGAAACCCTAACTTTGTTATTGTTATCGTATGTCGTTAATTTCCGTTTTGTTACTTCCTGCGACTACACGCGCAGCTGCACATAGTTTAATGTTTCATTGTATATCACTGTCAACTAGAGTATGGTCACTCTACTCTACAATTGGTTATTTACGTTTATGTTCGAACTCTATCGACGGTATTCATCAGCAGTTTGGTGTGTGCGCCAACTAAAGTAAGACTCTATCTTTGTGTTATTATAGTTTGTAAACATATGTAGCTACGTTAGTTGACTTATTCGTATTTAGTGCATGCCTGTTATAGTATTTAATTTGCCTAGATTGCATGACTTAGTGCGGTTTAATTCTTGTATTTTTAGTTCGAACGTTACCCACTATTTCTATTCCGCGATCACTCTATTCAATATTCCGTTACCGGATTGATCAGTTACCATATACCTTCAACCGCACAGTATTATAAACTTTATCATTAAAGATACATTTTATAACCATTATCCGCGCACGTGTTATCCTATCATCGTGGTTAGCGAATTTAGTGGAGTTCAATTTGTGGCGTTAACGGCACACCAAAGCAGCGTAGCTCTTAGAAGAATTTGGGAGTTACAACCCTTACCGTGTTTATCTTTACGTGTTTTTATATTATTATTACAACCTATCATTTCAGGTGCAAAGACGCGATTAAGGCAAAACAGGCACCACGCAACGTCGTTCGACGTCGATATTCAAGGTTTTTGATACGAAATAGTACCTTCGTATTTGTGATTCACAAGGTAACGTTTTTCTTTTTATAATTATCAAAGGTTAATGCGGTAGTTAACATTGGCATTTAATATAAGGCCTCGGCCTTCATGTACTCCCATTCGATCTTTCGTGTTATTACTACACGTATTACTTAAATATCATTAACTGTACTGCTTTGGTACATTTGCCATCGACTAGCATATATACTTTACAAAAACCAATCAAATATTCACCAGGATACGTCAAAATTAAATAACACTCTTACAGCTCTCTTGAGTGAGTCAACTTGAATGTTATGCACTGAATATGTAGTTGTAAACAGTATCTTCGTATTAGGGTTAAAAACATTTAGTTTGCTTCTTGAATATAAAACGATAGACTTGCTTTCTATTTTGAACTTAACCACCGCTTAAGCTAAACGGGATTTATCCACCGCGGTTAATATGATTAATTGAAATCAGGAAATAGTTGATTCTGGTTAGAAAATGAGCCGTTCAGAAAATACAAAAAGTCAAAATACGTGCAAAGGTATATTTTTATGTACTATTCTTGGGTTTCATATGACCTCATACTTCACACAGTAAATTGGAGCGAGTTAATTGTACACTGTATGTGTTGGCTTTGCCCTTCGTAGAAAATATACACAATTTCATATCAATTAAGGTTGACCCCCTGCACTCAAATCACTATTGAAACGATACGTGAAAGCCACAAATTCTAACTTTTGTACAATATACAGTGCCAGTGGGGGCAAAAGTCAGTGGGAGTCCAGTCGATACTTTTTTTATAATTTACAATAACAACTTGTGAGTGGGAAATTAGATATGTTGATCTGAACTTGCGCGTTATACGACGGTAATGGCTCTCCTATGTTTTTTTCGTTAATTCGCATGGTATTTAAGTTGTGCATGAAATGCTAATGATCGAAGCCGTTCTAATGATTACCAGCAATCGGGTTTTCTGCGCAAAACAATACACATACACACGCGTTTTTTGTGGGAGAAGGGGTTTGAGGGAAGCACTCCTATGGGATGTAATTCTTTGTGGTCATTCTTTCATCCCAAAGACTCGTTCTTAAATGGCGTTTAAATCGTTGTCCTGGGGTTTATATTCTCCCCATTAGGACTCTGCAACTGAGCACCAGCGCATGATGTCATGTATGCGCACGCGCTACATACCATGAAAGAGGTAGCTAGCCTCTAAGACATCAACCTGACCAACCGCACACGCTAGTTGGACAGTAAACGATTCGACTGATCTATGATTACAATAACTTAATGCTGAGTCTATGGGCTTGAACGTGACAATCAGGAGCCCTTCCTCCCAAGCCCGAACATTTATTTTTATTTATACGATCACTAAAGCAACGTTATGACATATATTAATTTTAGACTATATAAGTGAAGGACTCACTATATCGCTGCGTTATTAACTCGTCTCTATAGATTACAGATAATGGTTGTAGACTGTCTATACTATAAGCGATATGTCAGCCAACACAGCACGAAGGAAAGTTAAGTTGAATGACGTTAGTCTTAAGTATGTTATGAGATCTGTAGCCTGATAAACTGTACTGAGGCAATAGTCGATAGACAGGTATAGTAACCGCCAACAGACGTTACGTGGCAAATGCCCCTGTTATGTTTGAGTGGTGGGAGGGTGGGAAAAATTTATTTTTTTTTTTTTTCGATTTGACGTAAATAATGCCTTTTAATTTTGCGAACTGTGTCTTTGAGCAAAGCGATTTCCCAAGTGAGAAGATTGAGCTTGTGCATGCTGCTTATGCGCGACCCTCTGAAATGTTATTGGTTGTTTTTACGCGCCAAATGGAAAAGGAGTTTAATTGGTTGGATTGAGCAGGTCAAATGATGTTCGCGTGTCATGCAATATTGGATCTACTAATGCATTGGAGCGCCGGTTTGACGCATGTCTGACATGCCACCCGCAAACATATGTTTTTTGCCAAAGCCGAAGACACACCTGGATATGAACGTTTCCTCATTAACTTTATTTTAATATTGATATACTAAAATGGCTTTAATGATCGAAGCCGTTCTAATGATTACCAGCAAGCGGCTTTTCTGCACAAAACAATACACATACACACGCGTTTTTTGTGGGAGAAGGGTTTTGGGGAAGCACTCCTATAGAATGTAATTCTTTGTGGTCATTCTTTCATCCCAAAGACTCGTTCTTAAATGGCGTTTAAATCGTTGTTCTGGGGTTTATATTCTCCCCATTAGGACTCTGCAACTGCGCACCAGCGCATGATGTCATGTATGCACACACGCTACATACCATGAAAGAGGTAGCTAGCCTCTAAGACATCAACTGACCAACCGCACACGCTAGTTGGACAGTAAACGATTCGACTGATCTATGATTACAATAACTCAATGCTGAGTCTATGGGCTTGAACGTGACAATCAGGAGCGCTTCCTTCCACAATACACAGAATGTGTATCCCCATAGACGAAGGAGCCCTCCGCCTAAAATAGGAAATCAATATTTTGAAATATTGGCCAGTGTGGCTGATACGCTTGAGAGCATTGAGGTAGGTGTTTGAATGTAACGTTCAAAACCATCAGAAGACCAGCGTCCTAACGTTTTGACCAGCATATTCCGTGGCGTTGAGACCAACTTTCTGTAACAACGTTCGAGTCTGGGCGGTTAACGTTTTTTTCGTGGGCGGTTTGCCTGATGCATGAATAAAGAGAGGGCCGGTGGTTTTTGGTCGCCGTACTAAATAGTGCTTCATGGCCGAAACGGGGCAAAGCGCGGTCCCTGTGGCCCCAACGGTTATCGTGTGACCTACGCGAAAGGGGTCTGTTTTGGATTCTTTAAGGTGAACTGTGATATAATCAGGCTGGGCCATTGCTGTACCTTTGGGAAATGCGATATTATCTTTCGTGAGGTGTATACTGGAGTTAAATTTCGAATTTGTTGTTAGCTCCCCCAAGCGGAGAAAGCCAAAAAATGCCAGAGTCATAGCTGCCCAGATCATAACGGAATCATAGTTTGTAGTGTTAGGGACAGCAAGCAACGTGCGGAAGAGTTCTAAGTGATGAATGGTGATCGGTAAGCGAACTCGAACTTTATCCCCCTGTCATCGCTTTATACCCCGTAGTACTAGTTGCAGCCGCACCATTTTTTGCAAATTCAGAGTATGACCGTGGCGAACAAGTGGCGGACGGCCGCCAAATATGTTTTGATCGATGTGTACTTGATAGTTCTGGCCAAATATGCAACGTATTCTGTCAAAAGGGATTCATTGGCAGGGAGACAATGTTCGATCTTTTGTCGCCTAAACCAATTTACAAAGTGCTTAAAACTTTTTTCGCCTGCGCTGTAGGTCTGCTTAGTTGTTGTTGCAACGGAAAGATTTATATAGCGTTGAATATCATCCTTTAAAAATTGCCAGCATTATTTCGGGGACCAAACATGGGTTGATATCCGCTTGCGGTGCCAGTTGACGGAATCGCTGAAGCTGAAAACGAGAAATATTATTTCGTTCCGTTTTCCACAAATGTGCGTTGCCCGAATGTACATATTATATCGCAGGGTAAGAAGAGTTAAGTGACGAAGCAGATCCATGACCCGAGGGATTTTGGAACGTTTGGTGTTAATCATGTTGACGACTGCCTCATTATCGCATCTAAATTAATGCGTTGATCGCGCAGTAGGGGCCCCCAAATTTGACATGCAACGACGATAGCAAAAAGTTCTTGCCATGCAATGCTTATACCGGGAACTCCTAGTTATTGGTGAGCATGCCATGTACCCTGGAACCATTTGGTCCCAAGTATGTATAGGTATAAGCCGAAAAGCAGATTCGATATCGGTTTTTGCAAGAAAGCAACATTGCCCAAAACGCATCATTCCCTTGATCGCATCGTCGATAGTAACGTACTGAAGACTAAAGTCGTCTTGTGAGATAGAAGAATTTATGCTGGTCATACCCGATTTCGGAAATGAAAGATGAAATATAGTGCGGAACTTTTCCGAATGCTTTTTAGGGACTAACCCGATAGGAGAAACTTGAAAATTTGGAAATGGGGGCTCGTTAAAGGGACCAGCCACGCGGCCTAGCGAAATCTCTTTAGCTAAATTGGATGAAACAATTGCAGGGTCCGCATGCGCCGTCGGTAGATTTTTGGAAAAGCGTGCCGTGCGCTGCCCATGAAGCCAATGCGCGCGCTGTATCTAAGGTTTTGGCATAAATGTGACACAAAATTAGGGTCTGGATGACCCGTAAGGGCTTTTTCTAAAGTATTACATTGATGGTGTCGGAACTAGGTTAGTGCTTTGACTTGGCAGGTCTGTGGTCAGTGTGGTGACGCTTGGAGATGCGTTGGGCTTCAGAATCATCGGCGGGCTGGGCTTAGTTGGTCGGACAAGAGTATGCTGTATGTGGGCCTCGGCATTTGCTACATGCGTGGTGGTATCGGCACGGCTGATGGGAACATCCAGATCGCCTATTATATTCGATGCAGAGACCTCGTTCGCCCCCTGAGGAAAACTGCTTTTGGGGTCCGTTGTGAAATAGAGGGTATTCCCTTCTAAGTACATCGGAAGAAACAGTGAATATCATCAACCACAGCTGTTGATCGATAATTGACCAATTGATGCATGCGTTGAGGGAAACTTTTCGGCGAAACTTATGGTCGTAAATACACCATCCCAGGCCGCGATGAGTACGAGATGCGTGGCGGATTAGACTCATGTATTGCAGCAATTCCTGGGGCCGTCCCGGGAACGAATGTGTCAAGACACTCATGTAGATCGTGAAAGCTGTAGTCCACTGTTCAATATCGGTGATTTTTGCGACGGACTGAGACGACCTTTTAACCTTAATTACCGCGTTCTCAAGCGTCAAGGTAATAGGCTCGTCGTTAGAGCCATTAGAGAAGTTTTTTGGGAGAAGCTTAGCTAAGTCAAAAAACTCACCCGATTGAATTTTGTTGTGCGATATTACGCATGAATGGTTGTATTAGTTAGAATCTTAATGTATGCAAATTACTGTACATAAGTCTAGACATGCACATTCAAAGTAATAAACAGATAGACTTCACCTCTGCTCGGAGCAGTGGTCGGAATTTAGAACAGAAAATTATAACATTGGCGACGAGGATGCCTCCCAAACCAGTGAAGAAAGCCCTTAAAGTCGAAGAATTCTTGCCGACAGATGATATACTTGAAACTTCGTCGAAATGGAAATCGTGGAAGAGAAAAGTCGAGTTACAAATGGAATATTTTGAAAAAAGACCCGAAAGACAAGCAAATGTGTTTATTAGTTCACGGTGGTGAGCACATTTTGTCTATAGATGAGAACTCTCCTGAGACAGACGGTAGAGATGTAGACGAATACATAGATCTGATTGAAAAAATCGAGAGGATATATATACCTAAGAAATCTCGCCTCCATGCTCGTTTTCGATTCAATAAAGCGAGAATAGAAGCGGGTCAAACTATATCACAATTTGAAATCGAACTACGACGCTTGGCTAAGGATTGTGAATTCCACGGCTATGACGATGAAATGATACTGGATCGACTGCTTTCGACATGCTACGACGAGAAGTTACAGGACGAAGCCCTAGCAAAAGATCGGGACTTAAAAACATTTATGAAGCATGCTACGATGAAGCAAGACATCAAAGCTCAAACAGACGACATGAAATCAGAAATAAAGGAAGAATCGTTCGAATTTGTTCGAGCCACACACGCAGGAAAACCACGTGGAAGAGCATCAAAACAGAAGATGTATTCGTTCAAAAATATTGAGAACCCAACATCAAAGAACACAAGATTCACGAAACCAACAGACGCAGAAAATCAACAAAAATGCCTCCCATGTGGATATGATGTATCACATGAGACTTGTCCAGCTATTGGCAAGAAATGTAATTCCTGTGGAAAATTGAATCATTTCAGTTCATGTTGCCGTACAAGACCGAAAGATACCCAAATATCAGGGAAGTTTCAAAGATCTATCACAAAAGATGATTCATCTGATTCTGATGCAGACATTGATATTCAAGGAGCTCGTCTCAGATTAAATGTCAGGAAAGTGAACGCTGAAAAGGATGCTAGCAACATTCTTTTGCCAGTAAACGTTTGCGGAGTTAAACTTAACATTGATCCAGATACAGGTGCGGACGTAGACCTGATATCGAAGGACGACCTTCAAAAGATATATAAACAACACCCAGATGTCGAAAAGTTAATATCTGTCCCGAAAGAAGCTATTCGAGCCTTAGGTGGGGCTAAGCTCGGAATAATCTGCGTCCTGAAATGCTCTACGCTATCAAATAAGACAGTAAAAAACCTAATCAAAGACATGCATATACGTGACAGAAAATGGGATTCATAGTCACCCATTACTTTCCGAGAAGACGTTGCTCGAACTTGGAATGTTGCAGTATAGCGCTGATGGTGAGTTCGCAGACCAAAGTGTAAAGAAAGTCGAGAAAATCGGGAATGACTCAGGCGAAAAGAAAGGAATTGCGGAAATGGAGAAGATTGTGTGTGCCCATAAAAGGTTGTTCGAAGGGATTGGAAGATTTAATTAAAGACCCTCACAACGGTGAACCGATCTTGACACATATATACATGAAACCCGAAGCAGAGCCAGTTCTTCAATCACCAAGAGTGATACCACACCACCTGAGAGAGAAAATGAAGAATAAGCTGGAGTATTTTGTGAAAGAGGGCATTATGAGCTGGACAGAACCTGGCGAACCAATTTTCTATGCAAGTCCCTTAGTGATAACTCCTAAATCAAGTGGACCTGACGCTGATGTCAGAATTACGGCCGATTTCAGGTTGGCTAATAAAGAACAGTCCCTGGCATAAGGACGGAAGATCTTGCCATGACTTTCGCGGGGTGTAAAGTATTTTCGAAGATCGATATGAACAACGGTTATCATCAGTTCGCCATAGACAAAGAGAGCAAGAAGTATCTGGTTGTCACAACACCATGGGAAACCTTAAACATAATACCCTTGCGCAAGGTTGGGTCACGAGTCAGGACGAATTTGATCGGCGGATGTGTGAAATCCTAGCTGGTATACCTCGAACGAAGAACAATCGAGATGACTGTCTTATAGGCAGTCGAGATTGGAAAGATCACAACAGCAATTTGAACAAAGTCCTATCAACACTGCAGTCGCATGGTCTTACCATTAATAGAAAGAAGTGCGAATTTGGTAAACACGAAATTGAGTTTTATGGCCATAGATTCACAGAGAATGGCCTGAAACCGTCTCGAGAGAAAGTGAAAGCTCTAAAAGAATGTGGTGAGCCTACTTCGAAGGAGGGAATCAGAAGTTTCCTTCAAATGGTCGGGTATATGTCGAGGTTTATACCGAGTTTTTCCCAGATTGCGGCACCGTTGAGGGCTCTAACCAAAGACAAAGCCCAATTCCGATGGGGACAGGAAGAGAAAGACGCTTTTCATCACCTGAAGGAAAGTTTAGAGGAAGAAACAACACTCGCATATTTCGTACCCAATCAACCTATTCGAGTACATGTCGATGCCGGAAAGAAGATTGAAGCGACCAGTAATGTTCCAGGCGGGCTGTGTGCAATATTGACACAACAAGATGACATGGGAGTGTGGAGAATGTGCCACGTTGCGAACAGAACTCTGACCGATATCGAAACGCGATATGGCCAGACGGAGTTAGAAGCTCTTGCTATTAAGTGGGCTTGTAGCTATGCATTCTATCAATATCTTGTGGGAGCTCCAAGATTTGAGATACTCACAGACTGCAAACCATTAGAACATCTATTTAACAATCCTAAATCAAGAGCACCGATAAGAATCGAAAGGCAGATTTTGGCAATCCAGGGATTGGAATACACTGTGGTCTACAATAAAGGAAAAAACAACATCGCAGATTACGGTTCTCGTCATATCACAAAGGACGAACTGATTGAGCAAACACCGAATGAATCGTTTGAGGAAGGAATAACTGCGCTGTTATTTGAACCAAACTCGGAGAGTGATCGTGTTATAATGGAAAGAGCGTATGGAGATAAGGACTACCAGACACTTAGGAGAAAAGTGGAGAATGGTTTGTGGAAATCACAAAAGAGCAACCCGAAAATATCGAAGTTTTACGGAGTCGCACCAGAGCTATCGTTGTGAAAGGACTTGTATCTACAAAGATCTTCTGGTCCCACCATTCGTTATGCACAGTGCTTTTATAGATGAAGCACACAAGATTGGGCATTCGGGTGAGAAGCGTACAGTAGACCTTTTGCGGGAAAGAATCTGGTTTCCCGGGATGACGAAGCTTGCGAAAGATGCCATCAAAAGCTGCTTAAGTTGCCAAATAACCTTTGACCGAACGCATGATGAACTTCTACGACCAACACCACTACCACCTCATGTTTGGCATACGATATCCATTGATTTTAAGGGTCCGTTGAAAGATAGAAAATACATTCTAGTGGCATACGATCTTTACAGCCGATATCCGATCGTTGGATACTGCAACTCAACATCGTTTGTGAACGTTAAGCCAGTTTTGGATTCGATCTTTGCCACCTTCGGAAAAGTGCACACAGTAAAGACAGACAACGGACCACCATTTCAGGGTCACCAATTTTACGAATATGCAGAGAAGAAAGGTTTTTATCATCGAAGAATCACACCGAGACATCCACAAGCGAACGGTGAATGTGAACGATTCATGCAAAATCTCAACAAAGCCATTCGTATTGCTAAGAAAGAGAACACTGACTACAAAGGGAAGATAAACGGAATGTTGGAAGCCTATAGAGCCACACCTCATCTTTCCACGTCAAAAAGCCCGTATGAGCTGATGTTTGGAAGAAAGATGAACTTGAACATTTTCCCGACGATGAAGAGAAGAGTGAAAGATGAAGTTATAAGAAATCGTGATAAACGACACAAAGAGAAAGCGAAGATATATTATGACAGAAAAAAGAACGTCAAGAAATCACACATTAGAGTGGGTGATCGAGTATTGATGAAAGACAAAAGAACTGATCGATTAAGACCCGAAGTAGGGGTTGTGATTGAATTAACTGAATATTCTGCTACCGTGTTGTTTGGAAATGGAAGAATATATAAGAGAGACAAATCACATATTAAAGTCGTTAACAAAGCTGTAATTCCACCCACGAAGAAAAGTGACAGTGTTAAGCAACCGAAACGATACGAGTTATATGATTCCAATGAAAGTGATGTAGAAGAGACAAACCGTGAACAAATTACCTTAAGTACGAGATCCGGTCGACAAATTAAGAAACCAGAACGATTTGGAGAGTGGACTGTGTAGCTGAGTATTAGAGAACTATTTATAATTATATCTATCGGTAGAACTGTACAAATATTTAACTCACGTAATTAATTGTTTTGAAAAAAGAGAAAAAAAACAAACAAAAAAACATTTATTAGGATCAAAGAAACATTGCCACCGTATATAACTAATAGAAGTTTGGTGATTACTAAAAAAAGGTGGAGAAAGATGTTGTGCGATATTACGCATGAATGGTTGTATTAGTTAGAATCTTAATGTATGCAAATTACTGTACATAAGCCTAGACACATTCAAAGTAATAAACAGATAGACTTCACCTCTGCTCGGAGCAGTGGTCGGCATTTAGAACAGAAAATTATAACAAATTTGTCTCACGTATGCTGCGGGAACATCGTGGAATCCGTGGCTGTATGGCACTTGAGGTGACGTCGCGGTAGGAACAACCGAGTTTACAAAAATTTGCGGCTACGGATTGCGCAGGAGCGTCATCAACGATGGCCTCATCTACGCTGTGGGTGACGGGACCAGAGTTCTGCATGGATGCCACAGCAGCTTTAGCAGCGGTTGTCGCGATCTGTTCAGCCGATTTGTCGAGGATGGCCTGAATTTGCGCTAACTGAGCGTCGTTGAAAGCGTTCGCTGTCGCTGTCTGTCAAGAATTATCCGGGGAAGTTGCAGGGACCAACTCTGACTCAGGAGAGCTCGAGGAAGTGTGACGCTGTAGTCGGTGAATCAGCGTGTTTCGCCGTCCGTTATTAGGTAAACCTTGTTCGGCGCAAAGTTCTCGAAGAGCCGTTAAACTGATCTCGCTCGGTGGCTGATGTAGTTGGCGTTGTGTTGCTCAACTACGTGCGGCTCGAGGCTTGATAAAAATTTTATTTATTTTTTTTTCGATTTGACGTAAATAATACCTTTTAATTTTGCGAACTGTGTCTTTGAGCAAAGCGATTTCCCAAGTGAGAAGATTGAGCTTGTGCATGCTGCTTATGCGTGACCCTCTGAAATGTTATTGGTTGTTTTTACGCGCCAAATGGAAAAGGAGTTTAATTGGTTGGATTGAGCAGGTCAAATGATGTTCGCGTGTGATGCAATATTGGATCTACTAATGCATTGGAGCGCCGGTTTGACGCATGTCTGACATGCCGCCCGCAAACATATGTTTTTTGCCAAAGCCGAAGACACACCTTTATATGAACGTTTCCTCATTAACTTTATTTTAATATTGATATACTAAAATAGCTCGAAGTACTAGGATTCGTTTTGTGGACCAAAGTTGGCAAAATAGGTTAGCAAACTGGAAAATCTAAAATCTACTACCCCTGGAATATATGCAGACGACACTCAAATCTTTGCGTCGTCGGATAACTTTGATAAATTAGTAGATATGTTGAATTCTGATTTAAAAAATATCAGTAAATGGCTTAGTGATAATAAATTGCAAGATCATACTACCAAAACTAAACTTTTGTTTGTAGGCTCTTCGTATAACATTCAAAATAAACTAGGAAATAAGTCAGTGATCTTTGGAAATGTACCAGTAACCCGTTATAGATCTTTTAAATGTTTGGGCGTCGAGATTGATGAACAACTTAATTGGGAAGCCCATATAAATGCAATAAGCAGAAAGGTAGGCGCGGGAATAGGTGTAATGAGACGAGTTAAACCCTTTGTTCCTGAAGAAACCATGCACACCATTTACAAAGCTTTAATTCAACCATACTTTGACTATTGTTCCCCTCTTTGGGACAATTGCGGTCTATTATTGAAAGAAAAGTTGCAAAAATTTCAAAATAGGGCTGCTCGGGTGTTAACGGGGGCAGACTACAATACAAGCTCCTCTGAACTCCTGGAGCAGCTTAGATGGAAAAATCTCGAAACTAAATATAAAACTAACAAAGCAGTTCTCGTTTATAATATCCTAAATAACGGTACTGCTCCGTGCCTTCGCAAATCCTTTTCTGAGCGTAGTGTAATTGAAAATGGTTATAACCTGAGACATTACGATACTGATCTATCAATCCCGAGACCTAAGAAAGAGTTTCTCAAAAGAAGTTTTAAATATAGAGGAGCTGTATTATGGAATAGTCTTTCGCGTGAAGCTAAGTCTGCTCAATCGATTCATTGTTTCAAGAGGCTCATAAATTCAAGTAGTTAATTCTGCATATTATATAATATAGTTTATATTTGTATAGTGTAATTAAGTAGACGCTCATAATGTAATTAAGTAGACGCCCTCCGTGGAAATCAGTGGTAACTGACGGGGCTAGTGTCTGTAAATAAAATTTTTAATAATTAATAATAATAATCAGAGAGGCCAGATAATCGAAATCAAATCTGGGAGATCCAAGAGCTACCGCTTCAAAGGAAGATGAAAAGAAAGTATAAGGAAAACCAGTGGCTGTCCTTAATCAATATTGTTATATCAATGCAACAAAAATCATATCGACCTAACTCAATCTTCCGAGCCCCACTGTAGCTATTTATAGATCCTCCGATCGGGAAATTCACCGAAATATTTTCCCGAGACAGTGCTGACTTTTCGCTCGCAGAACACGACGCGCACAACTATAATGTTATCTTTCGTTTTGCTTTCATTCTTTCCATTTTTAACCTTTTGAGCCTTTCCCGCATGTCACGTGCGCGGAACAGCTAAAGTTATGTCACGTGCGCGGAACAGCTAAAGTTATGTCACGTGCGCGGAACAGCTAAATTTATGTCACGTGCGCGGAACAGCCAAAGTTATGTCACATGGGCGGAACAGCTAAAGTTATGTCACTTGCGCGGAACAGCTAAAGTTATGTCACGTGCGCGGAGAAGCTAAAGTTATGTCACGTGCGCGGAAAGCTAAAGTTATGTCACGTGTGCGGAAAAGCTAATGTTATGTCACGTGCGCGGAAAGCTAAAGTTATGTCACGTGCGCGGAACAGCTAAAGTTATGTCACGTGCGCGGAACAGCTAAAGTTATGTGACGTGCGCGGAAAAGCTAAAGTTATCTCACGTGCTCGGAACAGTGCGCGGAACAGCTGAAGTTATGTCACGTGCGCGGAACAGCTAGAGTTATGTCAAGTGCGCGGAACAGCTAAAGTTATGTCACGTGCGCGGAACAGCTAAAGTTATGTCACGTGCGCGGAACAGCTAAAGTTATGTCAGGTGCGCGGAACAGCTAAAGTTTTTCTTCGTTTTGTTTTTCACGCGTGATTACAAATTTGTAATCACAAGTTTGATTTCACACCAAAATTGCACAACACGAAGTGCAATTTCCACTTTCTTACATTCATTTTGAAATCATACAAAAAATTAGACAAATTCAAAACGATTTATTGGCGGAAAGAACCGTAAACGGTTGTAAAATGTGAGTAATTTTCATCTATTTTTGTCAAGTGCGATTTCGGAATTAACCACACTATTTTTAACCAATCAGATTGCAAGAAACTCCATTGATATCAAAATGAATATAATAAAGTGGAAAATTCATCAATAAATTCCTTTTAAATAATATAATTATCCTGGACATAAAATCTTGCAACTTATTTCCATCAGATATTCCTTATCGGAAGCCGTTGGATAGCGGTTATAACAAGCCAGCACCGTTCATCGCTTCACCAAACAAAATGTCTTCTTGGAGTTTTGTAGTTTGTCTTCGAGATGTTTTTATACTTACATTGCGTGAATTTATCGATTTTGAAAGTGATTTTCCAGACTTGAATGCTGGCAGCAAAAAGCAGGGCATGAAAGATGCGGAGCCACAAAATGTTACCGTTAGAGAGTCAAAAACTGAATTACTTCATTCTATCTCCGAGACGAAAGCGTTGTTCTCAGAAGCTGTCAAATCACTAGATTTGTTTGGGAATTATATACAACGACCTGGTGAGAAAACTGCTAAACGCCTGAAACTTTCACTCGATCGTCGAAAAGAAGGTCTTGAAACGGAACAACATTCGTCAGATAAAATACATGAGTTCGTAGACATCTTTCGTACCTTTTTTATTAAAAAGCATTCTGATAGCTTGGAATATAAAGACAAGAAAGGTTGTAATTCGGAGAAAAAAATTGCGAATTGGACGAATGGAAATATGGAATATGATTTGAGAGTTGAATCTCAACCACGTAGTATTTCACCTGATGGAAACAAAATTCATCATGCATTAAATCGTGACAACGACGAGAATGATTTTAGGAACACAAATATGAATGAAATTGGGAGAAATAATGAAAAAGTTAGTATTACTGGCATGCAAAATAATAAAGAAAACGATGAACTAAAGTTCAGCTCTGCTGAATTAAAACAACCCCGAAAAATCATATCAACCCTGGCGGAGAATTCAAAAATAAGTAAGAAGGATAAATACAACAAGAGCCACGAGCACAAGCTCAATGCAGGTTCTAGTATGAATGGTGAAGCTTTATATTTCACCACTGATGCAAAGCACAAAGAAGACGCAATCGACAGTGGAATGAACAGTGAGTGTTCAAGTGAGGAAACATTGAAAGAAAAGGCGTCGATATCAACAAAGGAGTTGATGGAAGAAAATAATATTCTGAAAGAAAAAATAAGATCATTGAAAATTGAGCATGAAGAACTTTTATTAGAGTTCGGCGAATGTGGCTTTCGCAAGAAAACGAGAGAAAAGGAAGAAAGAAAATCTGAGCTCTTCCAACAGACGAGTCTTTCTACTTTACCAGAAGCTAAACCATCTGCCGCGAACGAGCCAGGCACAGCTAGGGAGGGCAAAAAGACAGGCCATCAAGCAGCATCTACAAGTGAGGATTGTTCCCAAATGAATCCATTCCTCTCCTGTGCAATTGCTTCTGGTGGAAAGCTTGTCCAAACAACTGATCAACAGTTGCAAAGAAATGGTGGGAAAAAAGAAGTTGTGCCGGGAGAAAAAGGGGAAGACGAATCTCATGTAGACCTGAGTTCTTTGACGGGAACCAACGTGAGTTGTGTCGAGAAGGATATGCTAACAATGCAGAGTTCATCGAAAGAGAAGACAAGCAGCGGAGAGGAATTAAATGAA